ACACACACACACACACACACACACACACACACACACACACACACACACACACACACACACACACACAACAGCTGCAGAGGACAGCAATGACCCAGGTTTCAGACGTCATCATTCAGTGGCACACATCCAGGTCCAGTTCACCTTAACATTCAACGCAGCACGCTGTGCTAACTGTCTGACACGAAGCTTAAAATTTGTGTCTGTAGAGGTGCATCATGGGAGTTCGCAGGGACATTACCCAGCACGTCTGCCTGGACCACACTGCCTTTATTGGTAGCGCTTGTGCCGCTGCAGTATCTCCTTGGACCATCAGCTAAAGAGTGTGAAAAAATATTTCTGGCCAAACAAACTGTGTGTTCACGTTTCTGCCGTTCTTACCGAGTTTCTGTGTGGAGACTCCGAGCCACTGGCCCTCTTGGCCTTTTGTGCCAGTGATGTTCCAAACCTCAGGGCTTCATACACAGGATCCACCTTGTTCCCACAGGCTTTCAAAACAAAAGGAAAAGGATTTTAGAGCTTACCAATGAACATGACGTTTTCATCCTAACTAGGCTGCCATTTAGAGACCACAAACAGCCGAAAAAAAAGAAAAACAGCTCTGAGATGTTGGGTTTAATTTTTCCAGAACTGAAAGACATCCGAGCGACTCACCGATGGGCATGACCTCTTTGATGCAGCCGTACTGCTCCTGGTTTAGTAATGGAGAGCTGTAGTACCGCCGGAAACCTTTGGGCTGAGAGAGGAAAAAAGGGGCAGATAAGAGTGAGGCGACGGACATTAGGGACAAATCAATATGTGTCGCTGCAGGCAGCACAGCACCCTGACGCACGTTCATCAGCACAGAAASAGGGAACGTTCCCTGTTACTTTTAATGAAGCTTTTACAAAGTTTAAAAATAATCTGTTCCATGCATAAGATGTGAAGTCTCCACAGAACAACAATCAAACTGTAAAAACATTCCTCAGCTTTACATAATGACYCAAAAAAGGTGGAAAAAGGAAAGAAAACCAGCTACAAAATAGAAAATTACAGACAAAACATTTAACCTGGCATTTTTATTTTTAAATAAATGGCAATTCTGATAGAAAATCTAGAACTCAAGTTTTAAAAGATGATCAATTGTGTTAATTTTGTCAGGTTTTACAAGAAAGCAGAAAGGTGCACATCCGTATCTTTCAAATTAAACAAATAAGAATTAAGTTCAAAGAAAACGTTATGCAATGTTGTTTGATCGTTTCAATAATTAGAACGATATAACACCGAAAATAGTCTAAATGTGTTTTTCATCARTCAGCTCTACATTTTCCTACCAGTTTGTGCAGCAGAAGTAACTGTGAAATTGGAAGAAAAACAAAAGACCCAATTCAGCTCCAAATGGGTTTTTTCATCGGATTGAAAACTGTGGGGGGAAATACATTTTGGGACCACTGGCAACAGCTGGGGCTGATGGTGCAGTGTCAGACATCCAATTTGGAACAAACCTGCCACGAGTCTAAACCAACCCATAGTTCCCACTATTTCTACCTCAATTTGACCTTAATAATATCGTGAAGTGCACGACTTTAATAATAAAACAACTAATTCATCACAAACTTTTAGTTGAATTCCTTCATGCATGAATTGTTAAAGAGGCTGTGAACCCAGAGAACAACTTAAAGTCTTGCAGCTTAATTGATTTCCCTGTCATCCTCCTGTAATTATGCATATTTCTGCTGACTCATGCACACTCAATACAACACTGAAATATTCCTAAATTATCTGACATTTTGTGCAAACTGACACAAACTTTAAAACAGATGGTGACTTTCTACCCTGCACCGCAGTTTAAACTTTGCAAGTGATGATGATTTTCCAAGACTAAATCTCAATACGACACTGACTAAACATGTTAACTGACACATTGTTGTCTTCTTCAAATAATTGCCTGAACACTTTAACTTTTCCAAGTTTTTCAGAAAACACAAAAAAAACGTAACCAAAAATGTACCACATGACATTTTTCAAAAGTTCTTCTTGAAAAAAAAAAGACTTAGGCCATTATTTTTAGGAAGGTGTTGACATTAAACTAATTTAAAATACTAATAAAAAAGAATTAACACCTTAGGATTATGCAATAAACTGAAATAATTAAACTAACTAAATGTTAATTATGGCCTTCCTCAGCTTTGAAAACRAGTAAACTATTGCAGATTTTTTAAAAGGTGAGATAGTAGTTCATATATGTAAGCATTTCTCTACAAACTACACAAAAATGAGAAAGTCGTGTCCCAGAACACGATAAAAAATATTATAATTGTGAGAAATAGAGATCGTAAAGTTCTGCAGAGAACAAGCTCAACTAAAGACTAACTTATTCGTTCAACTATTGTTCATATTCTGTGATTCTGTTCAAAATGTAACACGAATACATTACTGTTGTGCAGTGTAATATTAGGAGGCTTTATTGTCTTTTTTACAATTATATGAAGTAATTTAATGATAATTAAAGGCCTAACATTCTTCGAATGAATGAATGTTACCCGCCGCCTTGTATCCCCAAGTTTTAACCGCTGATCTTGCTCAATCTATTAGTGCTCAGGGTATGTGTTGGAGATGATTCACACCTACCAACACCCCAAATATAAGCTCAACATTTGTAAAATTTACAGTGTTACAGCAATCGGTAAATTAGCTGTGGCAGCCATCTTGAATCAGGTTGACTCCAGTTGTAGACGTACATCCGGTAATTACTTCCTGAGAGATTTTATTAAAATCAACCCAGTTGTTCATGAGAAATTTTGCTAACAGACAGCCAAACGTAAATGAAAACGTAGCTGGATCTTGTCTAATTCAGTAGCTAAACAAGTCATGAAAAGTTTGGTCTGACTTTAGCTGCTGCAGCATCAGAATGTGCTCCTCTGACCGACAGGTTTAATTTAGCTGCTGTGAAGCCAAGTTACGCAACAAAACATGTAGCTGGAAAAAAAAAAAAAGAAGGAAAAATTCAATTTGGCTTCAGGTTTATCAAAGCTCCAGTAATAAAATAAATCAACTGAAGAGTCGTCGTCACAACCAGCCTTCTGACTCAGTGAAACAACTTTCTGAACGGAGTCACTGTAGCAGATATTGTCCGGCAACTTGTTGTCAGGGTGCGAGCTGAGTTTAAAGCGCCGACTCACAAATCGACTGTCGCATATTGGCTTCTGTTAGGTTTGATCCAAACTGGCACGCCTCCCAGAAARGTCAGCTGCTGCTGTAGCGGTTCGCTGAGTCTGAACGAAAACGTGCAGGCTTCGCTTCTCTGATGAGAAGTCAGCCCATCGCAAAGGCTCCTTCTTCGCTTACTAAAATCATATTGCACGTTTATAACCTTTTTTTTAACTAAATGAAGAAATCGTGTGTAGCTTAAAAATAAAAAGGAAAATTCTAAACCCTATCAAGTAAAGTTTCCTGAAACATGAGGCTCTTTTACTTGAAGAGCTTCAAGCCAAGAGAAACAAGCATGGCAACACAAGTGTCCAAGTTTAGAGTTTGTTGAATTTAGAGCTGTACTCCTCTGGGGAAACTTCCTTTTTTTATTTTGGCTTGAACTCTCAACCTCATTTTTCCACTCCTGAGAGCCAGTCCCATCTTCAAGTCTCATCCCACAGGCTTCTTGTGGAAAGATGGAAAATGGAAAATAGGAAAGGAAAAAAAAACAAGCAGAACTGACTGTATTGTTGCCTTTATGCAGTTTTCCCCCTGTTTGCCTGCTTGAAAGCAGCACTTTTGTTTCAAACTTCTTACTACCTCCAGTTACATTTCCTCAATGGAAAGCACATAAAGAAGGAGGAGGTAATCATAAATCGTATCAATCCGAGGCTCTGCATTCTTTCAGCCTTGTGCGCCTCGGCTGCTTGTGTCCCAGTTGAGTTTTGTCTGCTGGTCTGCAGGACCACGACGACAGTGAAAAATGCTTCTTGGCTCGCACCGGTGGGACAAAATCCTCCTCTACAAAAACACCTGGACCACCCAGTGCTCCGCAGACAAAGGGTCTCATTTAAAGTTTGTTTACAAAAAAAAAAAAAAAACACGGAGATAAAACATCTCATCTTAATCAGCAGGGCCAAAAAAAATAGAATCAGGTGTAAAAATCACTTGCAGATGCTGCCAGCTTTCACATTGTTGTGATCTGATCCACATCCTGAAACCCTAAAAGGAATTAAAGGCCTGAAGGAATGCATTTTTATGTTGCTAYTGTGGATGAGCTGTGGCAGCCATCTTGATTTGGGTTGACACTAAATGCTAATCAGCTAGAGCTGTACATCCACTGATGAATTTCTGAGAGTTTTAATGAAATTTGTCTGGTGGTGTATGAGATATTTTGCTAACAGATGAACAGTGAATAGAATATGTTTTCGGGATGACTCTAGGCTACTACCACGCCAAATTTTAGGTCAATATCTGTAAAACTACTGTATTTATTCATGTATAATATGACCCCGCCCCCCACTTTTTTTGAGCTTAAAAAGCATAAAAAAATTTAATCCTCAAACTACCTCCAATTTCATACAGACCAAGATTTTTCAGCCTTTGCAGTCTTTATACATATCAGTAAAATGATCATTGGACTGTTCATTTTACTTTAACAACATATTTACTAAAAGGTATTTTGACAACAAAGATACATCAGCAAACTACGATTTTGAGCTTTGTAGCAGCATCAGATGAATTCTGGCATTTTACACATAGTCCACCAGGATGCGCCAACACAAAAGTCAGAGACTTCACATGAGATTTGGGCCATCTTCTGGAGGAAAAGCAGATTACTTCCTACTCGCGAGCGCCCCCTCTGGTGGGGAAACATTTTTTCAGGGATACAAACTTTTTCAGAACACTGGTAGACGGCAGCTATTACAGACGAACATGTGTTTGTTGTTGTTCGAGGAGCGGCCCGGTCCCACGCTAATGCCATTAGTTCATTATCATTACTAAAGTGCAGGAATACTTTTTCTCCCTTTTTTTCACATCATGTCACCTGCCTGGATCTGTTACTATCTCGCTCTGAAGAACGGAGGAGTGTCAGAGGTAAGCTCGCTTCAAATGCTTTTTATGACACGGTCTCATTTCCGGACTCAGGCATTTTGTGAATGAAGCCGATATTTCAGTTAAAATACATAAGTAAAAATATTTATCCGAGTATAGTACTACCCCCCAACTTTATGGATGATTTTATGGATTTAATTTTATGTATTATACTTAAATAAATACGGTAGGTGAGTTAAAGCCGTTTTTGTGTCACTTGGAACACAGACGTGCAAAATCCTTGTCTGTCTTCACTTTTGTTCAGCAAGCGATACAAAATCTCATCGTGGAGATGCACAAAAAACAACCACATAATGCTCTCTCATGAGTTTCTCATGAGTTACTTCAGGGTGATCCAACTTGTTCTTATTTTAAGGTTTACCCTGAAGCCAGCACCAGTGGAACCTGGCTGAGAGAGAGAGGAGCTCAGCGTTTTGAAACCAGAGAGCTGAATTATTATCTAACACCGAAGTGGTGATGATATAACGGTGATGAAGAGGATGACGAGGATGGCTGTTGGTCACAGATGCGCTGGCACGCTGACACATCGAGTGTGATTTCTGAATAAGCACATTCTGTTGGGAAAACGGTCAAAGAGCCAGTTTTGACATTTTCATGTGTTGGTTTAATGTGTTGTCTTAGCTACGCTGATGACTATATCCCCATGGCTTGGAGTCTCCCGAACAGCTAAAAGTGCACAGTCTGCTGTCTGTGTCGTGCCCTGCGTGTCTCACCAGTTTCCCCATGCAACGCTGCTGCCCGACTCCATTCTCACACTTGTGGTGCAGGCTCATCTTGCAGGCTTTGCAGCGTAGGCCGTGCTTCGCCGTGTTTCCCGCCAAGAACACCACGTGCTTGGCTGTTGTGCCTGATAAACAAAAAAAACAAAAAAAAAAAGGAGGAGGGCAAAGCGGTTCAGATTCTTCGTGTGAGAGGTTGCAGTCTAGCTGGTGCTCATCAGCAAACCACAAGCAAAAAGGGTAGAGGAAACGGAAAGCATTTATCCCAGCGCTGTGTCATTCTCGCATTCATTATCGCCACACACTTCTTCCCTAGCGAAACCTTTGGGATGCACTGGACAAAATAAACTGAAAGATGTGCAGGACATATTAATGCCAGCGTATTTAATCAATTCCAAGTCTCGTGAACTTCGATAAATCCATTTTATCTAAATAGATGGTGGCTGAGCTGATGCATCACTGAAAGCTCTCTGCTGTCAGAGTGAAGCTCATTCTTTCTTATTAATAAATGATTCACATTAGCAGAAATCAAGAAGATTAATTGTACTAATTTGTCAGCCAATGTTGTATTGAACACCAGCTTTCTGTGTATCTGTGTGCATTTGTGCACAGAGACACGAGGAGGAGGAAGAGACAGACTAGTGAATTAGCGTTTTGTGCTAAAATGCAGCGTGAACGCTGAGCGCCGAATGACTTCACTGAAACTTGTTAAAGAAGCTGAAACTGAGCTGCTAAAACAAGCAGAATAAAGATGTAACAACCRAAACAAGATCTAAATTCAATTCAATTAAATTGAAAAACACTTTATTGACCCCAGATGTAAATTAGGTGCTAAATGCTAAAGTTAGCAAAACTGTAYGTTAAATCTAAAAAGAGCAGAATGGCAAATAAAAGTTCAAAGAAGCATATTGGTAGCTAAAAACAAAAAAAAGTTGATTAACTGGGGCTCAATACTCAAATTAGCAAAGCTATATAATGAAGCTAAAAGCAGAAAAATAGCGACAAAAAGCTAAAATCAACTATTTAGCTTAAATCTAAAAAAAGCTAATTGATTACTAAAAGATCCAAGTTGTAAATTTATAACTAAAATCAACAAAATAGTAGGGGCCGATTGATAGCTAAAAGCTAAAACCAACAAAATTCTAGTTAAAAGCTAAAATTTGTACAGCCATAAAGGCATCAAAATGGTAAATAAAAGCTGAATTGTAGCTAACATTAGCCAAATGGTAAATTAAATATAAAAGAAGCAGAATAGTAGCTAAAACAACTAGAAGAGGCTAAGCTAAAATTTGTAAAACTGTAGAATAAAGCTAAAAGCAGCAAAATGCAAGCAAAAAGCAAAGACTAACTAAACATTAATGTAAAGCTAAAACAGCTAAATTGTTGCTAAAAGTATAACTTGCAAAACTGTGGCTAAAAGCTAAAAGTAGCAAAGTCATATCTAAAGGCATCAAAATGATAAATACAAGCTAAAATTTTCAGAACAGTGCCCAAACACTACAAAATGTGCAGACTTTGTAGGTAAACACAGCGCTTTTGCTAAAAGCCAAAAAGTGAAAGATCGGTAGAATAAAATAGCAAAAGCTAAAAACTAACAGTTGTGAAATATTAATGGCTTCAAGATTTGAGGTAAATTTGAATAAACAGATTTCTGTGCAAAATATGAAGTATCCATTTACTGGGGTTTATGTCAATTTGTCCCGAACAGAAAAACAAACAAGCAAACAAACAAAAAGTAAAAAAATTAAAAAACACAGGAAATAATTCATAAAAAGGACAAATTATCTCCTTTCCATTAACCAACATTTTCTCAAGCAGCAGCGACGTGTTTTGAGAACCATTTAAACTTGATAACACAGCTCAGTCCCAGCGCTGTTATTAGTTATAGTCTGGTAATTCTGGCTCTTTGCAGAATAATCCATAAGTGTGCCTGCCCAGACACACACACTCTTCATGCATGTGTGAAAATGTAGAGATGCAAGGGGACTATTGATCTGCTTCATMTGGGAAAAAGCAGCAAGGAAAGATACTGTATGTCCAATGAAACAGTGTCTATCTGAAGCTGGTTTTTCTTTTGTTTTAGTTTTTTGTGGCWCATTAACTGTGACAACAGGATTACAGTTTATCTAGGAACAAACAGCATATTGAGCTTGCTGAAAAGGGTTGATTTTGACTTGAAAATATGGAAATCAAACTAAACTGGGTTATTTAACTGTGAGGCCTAGACACAATGTGTGATTTACCTTTAATAAAAGGGTGAAAAAGAGAAAATCTCTACACAATCTGAGCATTTATTGGGCTGCAGGAACTTGAAACTACAGATCTTCATMTAAAACTTACTTGGCTGACACAGAAACTGCCCGAAAGCTGAAACCCTCGCTGGTGAGTTACAGATCACCACAACAACTGCGGAGGCAGTGAAGCAACGCACCGATCCTGTATCAACGTTTAGGGTCACTTTAATTTAGAGRGAGCAATTTGACTCCTTAACAAGCACATTGAGTTCCATACCTTCCAGATCCGCTACTAACACGACAAACCTTTAACTTTGGATTTACATTTGTCTCTGTGGATACTAGGAGACAGGAAGCAAAAAGTTGCTGTCACAGTCACATTGTTGCTAATTGGCTTGTTTTACCTGAAACATTTGACACCTCAGTGTCTCAGTAAGAAGAGAGCAAACTTAAACAGGCAAAAAGAAGAAAGTAATGTTTTAAATGTCTGAAAATTGATGATTTTTGTTCATGTTAAGCATTTGTTGGATCATGCTAGATATGGGGTTAAAAACTGACATTGGTATCAAACAAAGAAAATAAAGAGTAAGAGGAATGTCTCATTCGACAAATGCACCACACACTTGTGTGTGTTTGTATAATAAGACTTGCCTAGTTATCTGCGTTTCCGGGGGTGGCTGTTTTTAGAAATATGTTGCACCATCTGGTTATAAGAGATGTGTTTCCTAGTTCTTTGTCTTTGAGGCCAGAATGTTCCGCAAGTGTCTGATGTTTCCCTGATCCAAATGCTTAAAAGGGTCTTAAAAGCTTCTCTGAATGCCGTCAAATTTCAGCAGAAGCCTGTTAATGATCCACTATTCTTTGCCCACGTACCTCCATAAACCTGTAACTATTAGAGCTCCGTGATCACGCCATGTTTGTTCAATTGGGTTACTTCAAGCCCACCACCACCATCTCCCTGTGTGACTGTGGGGGATGCTGGTCTGATTTTGACATCCCATTGCACACAGTGTGCCTTTATTAAACCTGGACAATTGGAGAATGGGCAGATTCTTTGATCTCAAATGGCGAGACGAACCACCTCAGGCTGCTGAACGCATCTTACTGATCGGCTGAAAATGGAACTTTAACCTTTCTACTAACCTAAAATTTAAAACATAACTTGAACACATTTTTTTTCTTCTTCATCGAGACATTGCTAGGCTGTTCACAGTAGCTGCGTTTCCATTGCAAATGTGCGCAAAACTTTGTCGGCATTCTGTTAATGTCGAAAAACACAGTTTTGCAACTGCAGTGTTTCCATTAAGTAAGAAATGCTATTAAAGTCAGGCGTGAATATGTTTGTTCTCGCGATAAATCATTACAAACATGGTGGCCATGGATGTAAACACATAGCATATTGTTACCGTGACACTAGCGCTCATCATCAGAGGAGACATTGGAGTCTTTTATCGAGGCTTTCCAACGACAAGCCCCTACTTGGGAGRGGCTACGTATGCAGTGTTTTTGGGAAATTGTCGTCGTGAGTTTACTATTTTATACTCTTCTGTGATATTACTACTACTTCTACTTCCTGTTATCTTCTTCGTCATTGTCTTTTTTGCCAGTAGAAACAGCCAGTTGTTGATCACGTGACTCCCGTGATGCGAAAAAAGTGTTTCCATTGCAGTTTTGCGAAAAACACCAATTTCGATACGGCCGAAATACCACCTCATCCTAGAGCAAAAACATTTTGTCAAAAAACGTATTTTTTTTTCTAAATTGACCTGTTTCCATTGAGCAAATCTATTTTTGAAATTCTAATTTGCGCATTTTCATGGTCAATGGAAARGCAGCTAGTGGTGCAGCTATGATTTATAGATAACCCCTTTTTACCTTTGTGATACCAGGGGTTTGGGAGTAGATAGTCCTAATGCTGTGTTCACACCAAACGCAAATTCAGCATCAAAATTGCGTCCAATGCTTCAAGTTGGACGCTTGTGCACTTGAGGTCAGATGCGAGTCAAAATTGCTCTTGAAGCCCTTGACGTGCATCTAGCACAACGAGAGCCTCCCTCCTCCTCTGCCGGTCTCTGTTTAATGGCGGATGAAATAAAGGAAGTGGCTTTGCTTTATTTACTGAGAGCAAGAGAACGTCGCGCTCACCAGAAAATTAATTCATACTTAATTCACCACACAATTCAGAGACACCCTGGCACTCGATTTCAGCTAAAGATCTCCTGTCCACCTGTCTCAGGTTAGTGGACATCATTCAGGAAACTGTCCTGTCAGAAAAATGTGTTACTACGTCACACAGTGGAGTCTCTCTGATTGGTTGACGCTCCGCATTGAGCTGCAAAAGTTCAGATTTTCCAACTCCAGCGTTCGACGCTGCGATTCGCACATCGAATACGTCGAACTCTCAAATCGCTCTAATCACACTAGACGCGCCGCAGCACTTCCCGARGCTGCTTGAGGCARGTCCACCATAGACTTTACATGTAAACCTGACTATGAAATCGCGTTCGGTGTGACGGCAGCTCCTGTCTTGAGACACAGACTACACATCTGTTTAGTAGGAAGGTCTACAGACAGAGAAGGTGGACCATCTGGTTAGGGAAAACAGGTAGAGGAGCTGGTTCATGGGTACCATTGGCTATGTGACACCCAAAACACAGATAGGGAAACTGGACTCAGTGAGTTTAAGGACAATGATACTTTCGTACATGTGGGTCAACCTGGATGCTCAGTGTCACATTCTGAGCTGTGTTACGATAGATACGGTGTAAATTTCAGTGCTTTGAATCTCTTCTACCAGAGCATCAACATGGAGTTTTGAACACACATAGTCCTTGTTGTTTACAGGGGTGCACTAATGAATGTATTGACAGTTTATGTTTAGTGAAGAGGTGCACAGGAGGGCATTCATTCATAGCAGAGTGCTCAAACCATACCTACAATCATGTGGTTGCAGACGTCGCAGAACGTGGGCTTCTTGAAGATGTGCTCCATGAAGCAGTGTCCCGCCGAGTCTACCTGCAGGGGGTTGCGTGGCTGGGCACGCGACGTGGGAGGGGGAGCGCAGGGAATGGCCGGAGGGACCGGAGGAATGGGGAGGCCCGTGGTGTGCGGCGGGGCCATCCCGATGTTGCAGAGATGGCCCGTGCTGCTGCTCACATCGGAGAGGAGCTCRGTCTTGTTCTCGCTGCTGTTTCGGAAGAAGTTGTCGGCGCTCTTGCTGCGGATGCTCTTGGTCTTGAAGGACAGGGAGCGCTTGAGTCTCTGCAGCTGCAAAATGGGAGAAGAAGAAGTGAAGTACAATGGGGAGCGAAGGAGAGGGAAACGGAGGAGAGCAACAAAGTTTTGTTTTAATGACCTCAATGATTTTCAAATAATTTCTCTATTAAAGGTCTCAGAATCAAATGGACCAAAAAAAGTTGGCTCCTGGGACTAACTTCTTACCACTCCACAGGTAATATTCAGCATTTCCTACTTGGAAAGTAATGAGATTTCCTGCTTGGACAAGTGCATTTTATTTAAACTATCTCATGCACAGAATAAAACCGTTCACGGCCGCAGCTACAATCAGTCACATTGGGCTGTCCCTCTGGAATAAAACTGCTGATAATGCTCCACCTTTTAAACTCCTCATTTCACCGCTCAGCATGTGCCATCATTTCTGTGTGATCATCAAAATCCCGGGCTGAAATGCATCAAAACGAGGCAAAAGCCGTGTGGTTTTATAGTTCTGGTCTCATCGTTTTGACAGGTTGAGAAAAAGACTCTAAATGATCCTTCACTTCTTTTCACACAGGCCTCTCTTCTCATTCCTACACAGGTTAACAGCTTGCAGATGTACTTTTCCTCGTTTGCAAAAAAACGCTGAAATCCTAGCCCTAAACTGCAGCACTGCGATGAGGGAAAAACATTTTGTTCGTATGCTGTTTGCTGCTTGTCATTTTTCTGAACATGCCTGAGCAAATTGTTTGGAGTCACTGCAGCTGTTGCATAGTGAATCAATCCTACAGGTCACTCTGGAAACAATCAATTTAGAGCCTTTCTCTGCCATTACCACCCACACACAAGGACACACACACACACACTTACACAGACAAATACACAACACAAATACCTCCTCTTGCAACTGATTGGTGCATGGATTTTATACTCAGCGCTGAGGCAAAAAAAATGAGCTTGATTCTAAATATAAACCTCGTTTCCAGATAAGTTGGAATGTTTTCAGTGCTACGAAACTTTAATCTGTCATTTGTTTGACTCATTATTTCAAATAAAACACCAAAATGTACAACTTTTTGTGTCAACTTACAGGTTACCTCTACAGTATTTGGAATGTTAAAGCAAATCCAGATTTTGATGCCAGTAGCACATGCAAAAAAAAAAAAAAACATTCATAGAATAATCAAGGAATAGTTTACAAGGAAGGATCTCATAGTTGAGTCTAAAACAAGCATTCACCAAAGGTTTAGTCCAGTGGGCCAAATTTGGCCCACAAGGCCATTTGATTTGACCAGCCACACTTTCACTCATGGTGCTGACTTTGTCTTTGAATTATATTATATTAAGATTAAACATGAAATACAAGTAACTACAAGAGACATTTCGATTAGATTTAAGCAGACATGTAGACCACAAATACTCATATTTGATCGTATTTTGGCCCTCTTGAGGAAAAAGTTTGGGCAACCTGGTTTAGTCCTAAGAGAAGTTGGGGGCTGGCTCACAACTTTCTACCACATTTTGTCTGAAAATTATGGTTCAGATCAAGAAAACTGTTACTCAGAAAATGATTTAAAGTCAAACTACAAGTAGTTTGAAAAGCTTTGTGATTAAGAAGAAACACAAGGACAGGGCCGGCCTTGGCAAAG